TGGTTTTTGCTTTTGCCCAGCATGCTTCTATGCCAATACACCAGGGAAAATGAGTTGGCAAATGACAGAAGTCACAGGCTCCTATAAAATGCTTCTGGGTTCATATGGAGGGTGGAAAAACTCTAGGATACTGAAATGAAAGCCTATTTCCTCTTCTAGTTTTAGAATGAGGACATCACAATGAAAGTAAGTTGATGAGTCCTTAACCTTGTTGAAGCCAAGGCTTTTATAGTTAACTACAGTTATCCTGGTTGTGCTTCACCACCAAACATCTAATCGGGTTGGCAAGAAGGTGTGCATTAGTCATATGGGTCAGAGTTCTGTTAATTTACATCAGCTAAGTTTCTACTTCAGAACTGAGCCATGCTAACAGTCAGTTCACCCTTAGGAAAAAAACAAACTAGCTTGATGTGGAGTGTGTAAGGAAAAAATGGGGCTTGACTTCTTTAATGCCCTTCACCCAAAGACTTTTACAGTGATTAACTCTTACAGGAATCTGCATGGCACAGAAGAATTACTCTGTGCTCTGGGAGCTCTTCTGGTATACTGCAGATGTAAGACCTTTATCTACAGAGAGCCAAACTTCAGCTCATTTGGTTTGAGAGCAACTAGAAGCAAGACTTCAGAGAAACTGCCTTGGCTCCTGTGACTTCTGTTTAGTGGCCTGAACCTTTGGGGATCAACAGACTTTCAAGACTTAAAGGTGTGTGACAGTCTGTAAAGCATGCTCTCGAAACCAGTACAGATTTATCCTGTTTTGCTTGGCCTCTAATCACAGCCTCTCTGAGCACAGACCTTTCACCAGCAGCTGAAGCTGTGTATGCCTCTGTGGTCCAAAGGAAGATGCTCTGTTTTGAAGAGCAACTTGAAAGGCCATACTTTACCTGACACAGGAGAACATGCTGCTGCTTCACCCTGACCTCTGTTTGTAGTCCTGGAGTCAAATGTACATCCTCCCCGGGAAGGAATGTTATCTCAGAGGAGGCACATCCCAGACTGTGTGCTTGGAGATTATGACTTCAAGGCCTCTTTTGGGACTGCTGTATGAGGTCCCCAGAGGGCACCCAGCAAGGCAAGTCTTGGTAGAGGGCTTTCCCTTCAAAAACTCAGCCACAGCCTGAAAGTGTGTGCCTCTGACTTATAAAGGTGTCGCTTTTCCCTGCTGAGAAAGTCAGAATTGTCCTTTTCCCCATGTTCTTTGCCATTAAACAGTTCCACAGCAGGTCCCCAAAACCAATTCATTACCTTGCTAAAGTAGGGTTTCTTCCTGTGAAGAAGCAGCTGAGGTGGCAGGCTGCAGTTGACACTGTGATCTACCCAATGCTGCTGATGTGGTGAGCCTCAGTTTCATTAAAGCCCCATGAGAGGGTGGCTGTGCTTGCCGGGGTGGTGGTAGGGCTGCATGATGCTGAGGCTGCTTTTCAACCTGCTTTCTGGCTCTTGGAGGTGTGCTTATCGTAGTCGCCCCTTAGTGACTAGTTTGTTTTTGTTTCGTACAGGTTACTGTACTCTCCATTGCTCCCATTTAGTGCTCAGCTGAATTTCATGGGGGCCTGCAAAGCACACAAAGGGAGGGCTGAAGGAAAGAGGCTGCAGAAACAGGCAGTGTTGGCACATCACTGTGCTTAAAGTACAATTGGTCTCGGTGTAGAAGTGGATAACAGGCTATCTGTGCATGGGAAGCCATTTCTCAGGTATGAAATGAGCTCAGAAATGTGCATGGTTCCGCTTTGTGGATAAGAGGGAAAACCAGAAGGACTCAATGTTATCACCTGCATCTCCCTGGCCTGGGAAAGCTGCTCTTCAGCAGTAAATCTGGTTTCCTATGAATGCAGGAGAGCTCTTGGAATAATCTCATTTCAGTCCCTATTTAATGGATTCCAGGATGAGCTGCCTGCCATGTATGGTTTCTTTACCTACAAATTTGGGGTTGAACCCAGCTGAATATTTAATCCAATTAAAAGCAAGGTCTCTGCTAAGCAAAAAAAAAGGCAAGGGGAATAGTGGAAGGCTTCCATGCAAGTGAATGCAACAACAAACCCAGGAGGACTGAATGTTTGTTATTCATACGTATTCTTAGAGGTAATTATTGTGATTTCATTCCTGAAAACTGCCTGCCCTAAGAAGTGATTGTATTCTAATAAGTGCTTGTTTATTACACTTGCAGTCACTGAAGTTGAATATGAATGATCAAAATGCCTGTGAGGTGCAGGGGTTTTCTTTTGCCAGGTGTCTGTGAGAAATAAAACCAAGAGGAGAACATGCAGCAAAGCAGGAGGTGCAAAATGTAAGTCAAGAACTGGCCTTTGATCAATGGTCCTGGTCCTCCTGGCCTTGAAATGGGACTCCCAAACCTCCCCTGTGGCATGGGGAAGGGTCTTGCCAAGGAAGCAAGCTAACAGTATCCTGCTCTCATCAACTTGTGTAAGGCTGGGGTGTTTTTCTCTTAAGAAATAAGGGGAAATCTGGGTGCAAATCAGAATTGGGAATGGCAGGAGGGCAAAAGAAAGAGTGGATGGGCTGCAGCATGTGGCGGAGAGGGGAAAGGGGATGGTTGTGAGGACAGGTAGCATCTGTCTGTCTATAAAGGCCATTGTCTACTCTGCAATTTCCAGGTACTGAAAGAGTTTTCAGCAGGGAAGTATGGACAAAGCAAGGGAAGCCTGGAGAACTCCATACATTTGGCCATATAAGAGGTTAATGGCTTAGCCCTTAAAATGTGCTAGAAAATGCAAGGAGGTTTCTGTGATGGCTTTGACATACTCTGGCAATAAATGTGGTGTGCAGGTTTCCTCTATTTGCTCTGAGCCTTCGACTTTACTCTGTCGCTATGGGGAACTCAGTGCATGGGAGAGAAAAGGATGTGAATTTCTGATGCAAAGTATCTGTGTTTTTCTTTAGCATAGTTTACTGCAGGAAGGAAGCTTAAGCCTTTGCACTCTGTGTATCAGCCAGACTTCCCAACAGTGCCAGGATCTGTTGATCAAGTTTGACAGGTGAAGACACGTATGGAAGAGAATGAAGTTTATAGAAAACCAGTGACAGGTAGAGCAGAGGTCCCATAAGATCCTATAAGAAAAGCTGTGATGGGCTCCAGAAGAGAGATCTGGTCCTGGACAACTGGAGCTGACACCTTCCTGAAGCACGAAGCCCATCAGTCACTTGACAAAAGCTAGCAGAAAATCCAACTACATTCTTTTTGTGCTAATGTGGGTGAATTCAGGAGAATTATGGAACCAGAATGTCCTGAAGAGCTGATCCACCTGATTTCAATAGGACATCCTCTGCCTAAAATCAGTCCTTGTCCAATTGTAGTCTTCAATTTCCCCCGGTTCCTGGGAGCTTGCTGCATGTTTGTACAGTTTAGCCTAAGAGAAATGTGAGTCAAATGATTCTTCTCTAAGCCCAAAAACTTGCTGGGTGACTGAACATAGGTGCAGGCATATCCGTATTTCTGATTGCTGGTTGTTCATATAAGATGATGTAGGTGTATGAGCCTTTTTAGCTGTGTTTCCTGCTGTGTAGTCCTGCTTCTGTCAGAGCATCCCTGTAGAAAAGCACGCTTTGGCCCAGTGATGTCTGCACGTTGGTGTTTTCAGGCTCATATTCATAACATTTATAGTTCAGACTTCTTCAGAAAGAAGTGGAAGTTTCCCTTCTACAAAACAAAGAGCAAAATGACTTGTGTTAATTATTCCTTCTTGCTTACTCACTCACCAGCTCATATATTACTTCAAGGCTTTTAGTGCCCTGGGCCAAAAAGGGTCATTACAGCACACAGAATAATGACTTGACCAGAAAAATGTGAGTGAGGGAGAATGAGTCCTTCTTCACTGAGAAACCCTTAATGGATGCCTTGGGAATTCTACAAAGCAGCAGCTCGGGAAACAAACAGGATTGTTCAGTGTTGGATATCACTCTGGTGACATCTATGTTATTACAAAGATTTACAGCTGGATTAATTCATTCCAGCTTTATTCCAGTTTTTCTGTTTCCCCCCCATTGACTCACATTGTGGAAGGCAGTCACACCCTCAGAGTTGGGTTTTGCATAATTGAAGCACCAGAACATACTAAGTGGAACAACTAATGGGGACGGAGCTTTATCCCTTCCTTCCAGACTGGGTCATCAATAATGAATTAGCAGCAATCTGAGATCAAAGGGGTTCCGTTTTTGCAGATGAATTTGAGGATTTGGGAGCTGAACAGATGAAATGCAGTTAATGACTCATTCAGGAAGGCAGAGACAGGAGATAAGTGACAGCGTTGGAATTCAGTGTTTGCTTTAATATGTTTTTGAACATGGATATACGTTCTGAAGTGTAAAAATGGATGCTGAGCTCAAGTTACTTCTATAAAATGATGCTATTAGTTCCCCTTGTGGGGCATGGCAGATGGGAATCTGATCTGTAGCATTTTTCTTAATGCTGTTTATGACCTACATATTGAGATGTACTGAAGAAACGCGTTAAGGTTACCATGTATGTGTTACAGAGAAGGCTGGTTTGCATTAATACAAGTTCCACTGCTGCAGAGAAAACGCGTTCCTCCAGCAAGAGCAGTTCAACACATGCTTAAAACAAAAGAACTATGAGGGGTTTAGTTTAAAAGTGGTTACAACCTAATGGAGGGACATTTGAAAGAGCACTCTAAGGTGGGGCTTAGTGCTCCCCAAAACAGGTAACAACAAAGCAGCTTCAAGGTAATGGTGCCACAAAGTCTGAGAAGCCTCGGGGACCAAATAGTGGTCTGCTGCGATGCCTGCAAGGATGGAGCACGAACACTCAAAGCAGACAGGCACAGCAGGTGCCTGTTGTTTAAAATCAGCCTTTTCTCCTTAAAACACCCTGGTTTGAGCAGGTGGGACCCAGGTCAGAGCAGCTGAAAAGGTGTTTGCGATTAGGGGCTGAGCGCTTCTCGCCACAGCTGTCCCTCATTGTGGGGTAATGGGCTTAGTAGGGATGGGAAGCAGCACGGGTGAGGCTGTGGTTACCCGGTGGGAAGATGTCGGCTATGGTGGTTCCCTGCAGCCAGAGAGGAGGGATTTCTTAACCCTGAGGGCTGACGGTAGCAGGATCCTGCACAGAAGGCTTCCCAAGGAGCTGCCCTGCCAACAGTGAGTGAATGGTGTGGAAACATCCTTGAGTTGATAGAGGAAAACGCGGGAGAGGGCGAAAGGGGCTGGGTGAGAGGAGGTGGTGCTGGGCTCTGGGACCAGCCTTGGCGTGGTGGCCCTCCCTGGCTGCCCAGCGTCGGTGTTTTAGCGCTGCGACAGGCTGGCTGCTCTCGCCCAGCAGGAAAAGTCAATTATATGCTTTTAGGTACAAGAAATGCTCTATTTTGACCTCAAAATCACGATTTTTAATCGGGTGTTAGGTGAACTTCATGGTGCATGTTACTTGTTTTATTAATGCCTTATAGTTCTGTGGTTCTCATAAGCAGGGTTTCAGATTAATTTGTTGTTTTGTTTGCTAACGCCTCATGGTGGGACTTTTGAAATGAATGTGAACCTGTTACTGAATTATAATGGAGCAATTATGAAAATAACGTGTTTATCACAACTGTTGTTGGGCTAACAAAGAAGCAGCTGTTAATGCCCTGCCCACCTTTGCTGGTGTATCAAGAGAAGATGTGGTTTGGAATACCGAATTGTATGCTCAGGTTAATATTTGGGGAGAAACTTCACTCTTCCCTGAGATGTGAATACTTACTTTGGAGCAAAACCCCCTTTCCTAATGGAGCTGAACACAGAGCACAAACTTGCTTTGGTTTTTATTCAGAAATTGTTGTTTGCTTGGGGTTTTTCTTCCTTTTTTTTCTTGTGGATTTCAAACACTTTCGAGGCTCCCTAATGAAAAATGTTACCACCCCCTAACCTTTGCTTCTCACTGAAGCCAGCTCTGACCCTCGGGCAGGTGTGTCCTGTTGCTCTGAGTTTCATAAAGCTTTATTGGTCTCTTTAGCTATAATGAGCACCTGGAGATGAGAGCATCTCCTCCTACAGAACAGCAAAGAATCTGTTTGAATCAGGCATTTAAATGATTCTTTTTCTTTCTCTTAGTCATTGTCTGCATTTTTTCATGTTGCTCCTATTTCTCCAAAGGCTTCTCTGCTTCCTGGCACTGATTTCGTTCAGGTGCTTGATAAGGTCTGAATGCTTGGGAAAGACAATACAGGGCATGACCTAGGTATGGTTTGTTTTTTTTTTTCATAGAAAATAAAATTAATACAATTACTATAGCAAAAGCACTCATCCCTTTTTTAAAACATTGAGCTGGATCTGTTCCTCGTGGCTCTTACCTTCAGACCACAATGTAAAGTTTCTTTCTCTAAAGCATCTCATGGCAACAGAGCTATTGCTGTGGAAGTTACTGCCCTGTCTGGAGAGGGGTGTGAACTGGTGCACTGAAAAGGGGGACAGTGATAAACTTGATGTGTTATTGATTCGGTATCTGGTGGTTTAAGTCTGCTACAGAAATGGGCATATCTGCCCTCTCAACTCTGCTGTGGTGTTCAGCCCTTTGGCTCCAGCTAGCTCAGGGAGGCTGTGGAGATGGGGAACTTCTAGCTCAGGGTATCTTGTTTGAGAAGGGGAAGGTCTCATGAACCTGCTTGTGCTCATTGCTTTGAGTACTTTTGAGTATGGGCTGGGAGCATCTTGCCCCTTAGGAAGAGGAATCTGGCTAAAGCAGGCAAATAAATTGTATAGCTCCTTTCAGGCTCATCTTGAAGGCTGCTACCTCCTGGCAGTACGTGTAACCCTGAATGCTTTTGTATAGAGACCTCTTCAGTGGATTTGGTGTTATGATCCTATGTGCAGAGGTAGCCCTGTGAACCTGAGTTGGAAGTAGAGGGATGCTGTTCTTCATGGGGCCTGATCCAGGGGCCTCTGGAGGTGAAAAGCATGAGCAGAGCTGTCACACTCAGTGGGCTGCAGGGCTGGGGGCTGCTCTGGGCAGTTAACCCCCATTCCTTATCTTTGTATGGCTCCGCATGCTCTGAGGCTCTTCCCTTGTGCTGCCAGAACATGCAGCAATCTCATTCCCTGGAGCGTGCCAGCGATGTGAGTGAGTAGGTCCTATCCCCTCTGTTTCCTGTTTGTTTTATTTGGTGTGGTGTTAACCTTTACTCAGTGCACTTATTTACTTCAGGTTTTAATAGTGTGATAAGGTCACAACAAATTTAGTGGGAGGCATTCTGAGCACTTACAGCAATAAATCACAATGTACATCACCCTTGTGTGGCTTAGCCAGAACCAGAGAAATCCAATTTGGTCCATGATATGAAGGCCAAATAAAGCCAGGTGTCATAGTGAGAAAGCTTTGACGTATAGCTCTGAAAGAACCTGCACACTTCTCTATAAATTAACAGCTATTTTGCAGAGCTGACAAGTAGCTGATTCTTGGAACTAGTCCTACTTGTGGCTTCCCCCCCCCTTCCATTCCAGTTCCTTGATCTTTCCTTTTAGCAAATCCAAAGAGGAGAAAAAGCAGTCTGTTCTCTAATGTAGGTTTTAAAACACTGATGGCACGGACACATCTCACAAGTGCGATGAACTTGCTGGTAGCGCATGAAACCCTAGAACCTCTGGGGCTCATGTCTGCAGGAACATTTTCTTACCTATTCCTTTATACACTGGTTTGGGTTGGTTTTTTTTTTCTTAGACAAGACAGGCTCTGCAGGTAGGATCAAACCAGCCTGCAGGTCATCCTAAAAGCTGCCAGGTCCTAGTGACCGGGAGCAAATAGTAGCAAACTCTGTCCAAGAGCTGTAGGTAACGCACAAGGGAATGTGTCGTGGGGCACTGAACTGCACTGGCAGGGAAATGGGCTTGATAACCTGGTGTATATATCCTGCTTTCATGCCTGTTGGTTTATGGCCCCTGCAGTACCCCGGCAGCCCTGCTGTTGTCTGACCTTACCCTGCCTTTAGTCTGGCAAAATTGCTAGGGTGTTTGAGGGAGGAGGAAGGGATTAGTTGAAGGCAGTAAATGTCGGACTCCTGAACTCTCTAAATAACCCAAAAGGAGATTGATTTTGCTGATGTGTAAAGCTCAGCAACCACCTGGGTTTCAAGCTAACATTAAAAATTAAATGCCAGTTTCCATGTTATTAAAGGTGGAATAAAAAGGTGTTGCACCTTACTGCGTTCAGAGCAAGAAAAAGATGTAGAGCTCAGCAATGCAAAGTGCGAAAGTAGCGTGAGGAGGAAGGACACCATCTGCCTGGGTTTCTCCTCGAGAAGTAGTCAAAGAAGGAACACTGAGTGAGAGATGGTGCTGTGATGTCTGCCCAGTTGCAATAGAGCAGTGCCTGGCTGGGCTGTGTGAGCAGCACACCTGATGGATGCTCAGAGCCTCCATAAAAGCAGGCAAGTCAGGTTTTGCCCAGCACTGATGCCTCTCACTCAGTGTCAAACACTCCTTGCAAGAGCAGCTCATGGAGTGATAGATTTAACAGCAGCAAGAACTCATCAAGGTCTGGCTATATCTGATTTAGGTTAATAAAACCTTGCCACTGTGGAAGAATGAATGAATTTGTGTGGGGGCTGTGGGTGAGGCAGAGTTCTCTCTCACCACTGCAAGGGTGTTTTGGGTACGTGTAACCATTGCTGGTTCTACCATTGTAATCCTGAGTCTTTGCCCGATGTCTTTCTGAAAACTGCATTCCTAGAAATGTCTGATTTGTTTGCTTCTGAAGTGTGAGCCTCCTGCCTCCATCTGCATGGGTGGATTTGAATATCTGACCTGCCTGCATGAGGCTGGGAGGAAAGCCAAACCTTTTCTTGTCATCAGACGCTAGGCCTTTTGGAGCAGTGGGGCTGAGAGTGCTGACTGTGTACACAGGACCTGCGTAACCTGATGGAGGTCCCTATGAGAGAACGTGGAAGTGGTCATTCCCTGCTGTGAAACCTGGGGATCAGGGGACACAGGTTTAAATAAAGTGTCCATGCCCTTGCCTCAACCTGCCATAGGTGCAAAGGTATAGCTGTCACTGGCAAAGAATAGCTGAGAGCAACAGAGTCATTGGGAAATAGGGCACTTGCCTTTAGATGGGGTCTGTGCCCCTACCCAAAGCACTGGGCACCAGATGTGATCATGCCACAGGCTGAAAGCTGCAGCTCCAGAGCATCTGGCATGAAGAATAGTGTCTCTCAGTCTTTAATGCCTGACTATTCTGATCATCCTCTTTTAATTTTTTGCTGACTAACTACATCCATAAGTTCTTTGCTCTACTAAAAATCTGCTTAATGCACAGCCATGTTGTAAAGTCAGGCTGCAGTTCCAACATCACTAATCCTAAAAGAAGCATTTGTTCAAAAAAAAAGAGGGATCCATTTCCCTAGGAAATGTGCTTTGATTTACGAAACAGAAAACGTATTCTGAGCCATTCATGTGACAGGTCACTATTTCACCCTTTTGGTGCAGTAAAAGCTTATTCTTTTAATAGGTTTATTGCTTTTTGGTTATTCGCTTCCAAAGGACTCACTTGAGTGCTGCGGCTCTGATGTGGAGTAGAGAAAATTAATTCTTTTTATGGTAGCCTGTTCCTCTCGCAAGCCCTCATTTTAAGTGCAGCTCAACTGCATTACAAATAACAGTATGTGGTCCTAGGGGGAGTACAGAGCCTCTAATTTAATATTGTACCAGAGGCCTCATAATGTCAGTGATGCCAGATCAAGCTTTTCTCTTTCAAGCCCTCCTCCCTGTCCCAAGGGGAGTTGTGAGATACCAGGCTGGCTGTTGCCAATGTGTGTGGATGCTGCTGGGGGTGCTTGTTCATTCTTCTGGGTTTGGGCTTTCTGGTCCTGTGGCATCCCAGAGGCAAATGGAATTTGTCTGCACAGCCCTGGCTTACTTCTGAAACAACTGCTTATTGTTATTTACTGTGGTTCTCTTTCTGCATTGTCAGTTGCCAGACTTAACAAGGGATGCGAGCATCTTATTCCTGCCTGCAGGGCTGGTGGTCATGGGCTGGCTCCTATGGGAGCACATGTGGAACTGGAGGCAATGCTCCGTGAAAGAGGGAAATGGCACTGTTTCAGGATGTCATTTGCAATTAAGCTTGTAGTCGTTACCTTGCTTTGAAAGACTTTGGAAAAGTGTGGGCATATGGACTTCTTCAGGAGTCAGTTGTTTTCTAGAGGCATATTGTGAGTGGTTGATGGGATAGAAATAAGGAAACCAGAGTTCTCCCAAATGGTGAATTGCTTTTGGTTCTCCCATTAACAGAAGGTCTCCCTTTCAAGATTACTTTATTAATTGGGCCTTTTATCATCTCTTACATCACCAAGGAAAGGGAAAAGATATCAGCCACTGTGTGTGGCCTTGCAGACAGCTACCGGCTGCAAAATTGAGCACTTCCCATCAAAAATTAATTAAATTAGCCCAGATTCCATAAGTAATACAGCCAGATCTGCCTGGTACCTCCCAGGAGAAGCACGTTCCAAGTCAAGTGCACCCAGAGACCACATTTGGAAGTGAGGCAATTATTAGTTTAATTCAGTCATCAAATTAATCTTACAGAAGCAGAAAATGCCTGTCGCTGGAGGAGGTGGCAGGAGCATGAAGCACACAGCCTGCTGGGGCTGCAGTGGGGCTGTGGTGGAGGCAGCAAGAGGACAGACACACTGACCGCACTGTCTGACCACCGGCAGTGACCAGAGTGTGTTGGTCTGTTCTCCCCATGCTTTTCTAGATGGGGTTTTATGGTGCCCTCGGTGCCATAAAATCCAAGGGGCATAAACCAGTGGCAGCTTCCCTACCTGCCACAGCTACTGTATAGGATGAGCATGGAGAAGTTAAGACCAGGAACTGGACAGGGCTCCTAGGCAACAACTTGCTTATCAGCCACTGAAAAGAAGCAGTCATGACACCTAAATTAGAGTCTGATAGTAGGTAGTTTGACTGCAGCCCGAAGCATTGCCATGAAATGCATTAAGTGACCTGTCACATGCAGTTTGCTGTTACGCTTATCCTCTGCCCTGGAGACAACTGCGTGCACAGTGAGTTATTTGTAGTGGTAGGGAATTTTTTAAGTAATCATACAGCTTTATGTCTGCTGGAGAGAGCAAGCTGAGATGTGGAGATGCAGCAGAGAGTGTAGCGATGCTCCTTCAATCACGCAAAAGATGTTTTACTTCATGGGCTCTGACCAGTTCCTGAGGAGATGCTGTCTTCTGTGCCTAACACAACAAAACAAGTGTGCTTTCCACAAAGCTTGTGGCTGTTCCACCAAAACCAGTGTGACTGTTAATGCGGTTACAGAGGGTGCAGGCTTGCCCATGCTTTGGTCTTTAAGCACTTGCTTGCCAGAACTCCAGGAATGGCCATACATTTATGAGGTATGCTTGGTTCTTTGTTTTTTTTTTTAAAGGTTTGTTCACTCTAGAACTCAAACGTGACTTTAAAACACAGTTATGGATGCATCATTGACCCAAGCAGTATATCCATCTTTCTGTGCAACTGCGTCAGTCTGACAGTGCATGAAGTATTGGTACAGTTGAAAGATATTCTCTAGTTATTTAAGATCAGTATAAACTTTTTAGCTCACAAATTACCAGAACAAGAGGAGGCTGTGCTCCCTGCAATTGCCAAATGTGCTCTAGTGCTAAGGTTCTCTTCCAGCTGAAGCATCCCTGGGTTTACTACTTTTGTTAGTGAGAACTTTCGCAGTCATCCTTAGAGGCTTTTTGATAGGTACAGAAACACGTATGCAAACTTCTTGCTTTTATTTCTTTATCTGGCTTGTTCTGCATCTCACCTTTTTTATAGGAATCAGAACTGGTTTTAAATATTTCCGTTTCAGTATCCCTATCAGCTGCACTGCCTTGCTGAGAAGATGCCTTTTCTAGTCTCTTTGTGTGTGCTTGTGTTTTCTTGCATCAGTGGATGTGCTTGTTCCAGCCGCACTCAGCTTGTCCTAAACTTGATTTCTGAAGTTCCTTTACCTGCTGATGGGCTGTCTCTATCTGATGCCTAAATTTTTCACAGTTGCTTTCTAGAAGGCATTTTACTTTCTGCCCAGCACTTGCAGCTCTGTTTTAGCATTGATGTTAGGTTCAAGAGCTAGTTATATTCTGTTTCAATCTGTCCAGTTTGATTCCCTCCCCTCCAAGTGATTGCTTTGACTGATCTTCACTCTCCTTGTACTTACGTCTCTGTGCAGGTTTCTCTGTGTGCTATGGTGGTGGGTTACCTTCTTGAAATGTCTTCTACCACAGTGGTGTTTCTTTATATCTGAGCCCCAAGGATTAGACATGGTGTAGCCCTACCTAACTTGCTATTTTGGTTGTGCTGTTCACCTTGTTTGTAGCTACTTGGAGGAAAAGCACAGTAACTCCATGTCATTAACAAATGCTAGGACTTGTAGGTGTCTCTTGGACTGCTGTAAGGTTCTGCTGCACCTCTCTTGGTTCCCTTTCTTTCTCCTTTCTCTGACAGTGCTGATGAGCAGTGTAGGTCCCTGTTGCTGCTTGAATTTCTTGCTTAAATCCCAATTATTACTTAAATGCTACACAACTCGCCACAGACTCCATGTTAGTTTCTGGTTTTCATGTCTGTTTGGAAAGTGCAAGAAGCTTGTGGTATGTCTACCTGTGAGGTTACAGCACGAGGCAGAGCTCCTTTGGTGGCCTTAAAGGCTGTAAAATCATGTGGTGGCTCTCTCTTGCCTGAACACTTTGGCTCAGAGTAGTTTCTTTTCTGGGTGAATTAACCTGTGTTGAGCTTGATCATCTGCAGCTGGATGATTTCAGGTCTTTGCCAAATATCTCTGTTAAAATTGACTCTTTGTTCATACTGTCAGTCACTGCACCCACCTAAGGGTAACTGGTGGCTCTCCGTAATCACTTAACCAAGAATGGGTAAGCCTTGTGCAGGGAAGTTGCTGAATTGAGTATGGATGGCAGGAGATGATTCTTCCCTGCTTCCTTGCATTCCTGAGCAGACCTGAAAGACACTTGTGTTCTTGTTTAGTGATCTTTAACACCGTGGTGCCTGCGCAGGCTCTGAATGAAGGACATCCTTGTATCTAAATTGGAGAGACATCAATGTGATGGATGGACCACTGGGCGGATAAAGAACTGGCTGGATGGCCGCACAGAGAGTTGTGGTCAATGGCTCAATGTCCAGCTGGAGACCAGTAATGAGTGGTGTCCCTCAGGGATTGGTGTTGGGACCGGTCTTGTTCAACATCTTTGTCGCTGACATGGACAGTGGGATTGAGTGCACCCTCAGCAAGTTTGCCAATGACACCAAGCTGTGTGGTTTGGTTGATACCCTGGAGGGAAGGAATGCCATCCAGAGGGACCTCGACACGCTTGTGAGGTGGGCTGATGCCAACCTTATGAAGTTTAACCATGACAAGTGCAAGGTCCTACACCTGGGTCGGAGCAATCCCAGGCACAGCTACAGGTTGGGCAGAGAAGAGATTCAGAGCAGCCCTGTGGAGAAGGACTTGGGGGTGTTGGTTGATGAGGAAATGAACATGAGCCGGCTTCAGTGTGCGCTCACAGCCCAGAAAGCAACCGTATCCTGGGCTGCATCAAAAGGAGCATGACCAGCAGGGCGAAGGAGGTGATCCTGCCCCTCTGCTCTGCTCTTGTGAGACCGCACCTGGAGCATTGTGTGCAGTTCTGGTGTCCTCAACATGAAAAGGACATGGAACTGTTGGAACAAGTCCAGAGGAGACCACGAGGATGATCAGGGGACTGGAGCACCTCCCGTATGAAGACAGGATGAGGAAGTTGGGGCTGTTCAGCCTGGAGAAGAGAAGGCTGCGTGGAGACCTCATAGCAGCCTTCCAGTATCTGAAGGGGGCCTATAGGGATGCTGGGGAGGGACTCTTCATTAGGGACTGTAGTGATAGGACAAGGGTAATGGGTTCAAACTTAAAACAGGGGAAGTTTAGATTGGATATAAGAAAGAAATTCTTTCCTGTGAGGGTGGTGAGGCACTGGAATGGGTTGCCCAGGGAGGTTGTGAATGCTCCATCCCTGGCAGTGTTCAAGGCCAGGTTGGACGAGGCCTTGGGTGACATGGTTTAGTGTGAGGTGTCCCTGCCCATGGCAGGGGGGTTGGAACTAGACGATCTTAAGGTCCTTTCCAACCCTAACAATTCTATGATTCTATGGGTAGAGTCATGGTGTTATGGTGAGATAGGTCATGGAAAACATTTTCCATGGTTTCACATGAGTTTTTATTTTTTTTTTTTCCTTTTGCTTATGTTTTTTCTATTAACCAGCACTAATGCGATAAATTATAGCACTTCAATGCTGCTGACAATGCTCAGTGTTCTGAGCTTGTTGATCTCGCTGGGAAACATCAGTATTGCATCAAAAGCCATCCAGCATAGAAGAGCCAGCAATAGCTGTGGGACTCAGTGATGCTTTGCATCCCCATAGTTGAGCAGTGAGCCAAGGAGTCAGCTCATATAAGCTTTGCTTTAGCAGATGGTTTCTCAAGGGCCATTTAAGTCAGCCTTGACCACCACAGTCAGTCTGATCCCTCCAGTTGTGCTTGGATGGGGCTGAAAGATCACATTTGTACTAAATCCAGAGCTTGGATTGATCCACAGGCATGATGCACTGTAGCACTTGGGTTTCTGTTCTGTTGCATTTATGTCCTTCAGTTTGCCTGTAATTGTGATGAGAGAGCCTGTGTATAGACAACTATGGCAGTGGGAAGGGACTTATGCTTTTGGGATGTCCAGGCCAGCCGTGTGCTGGCTGTGCTGTGCTTCACAGCACTGGAGCTAAACCATCTTTGGTGCAATCTGGTGACACCACAAAGGGATCTGACTCCAGCTGCAGTTTTCTTGCCCACTTAAGCGTGTTTACACAGCTTTGCCAAAAAGATGGTGCATGAAAATTGCTTTTATTACCAGCAAAAGAAGTTTGCAATAAAACCTATCTCCATGGGTGCACTAATTCTATTTTACGAAGAAAGAACATATTGTTTTAATTAATCATATGAAAGCAAAATTAGCATGATTATGTGAAAGGTGCTGTAAATCATTCCGATCCACATCATTGAACAAAGAGCACTTAGTTATTCCAGAGTTGTTAAAGATTTTATCTACCCAAGTGAAAATTCAATTAGCACAAACCAGTCTCATATAAAACTAAGGATTCTGACTGCAGGAAAAACTTTTTGTGTGAATGCTACCTTGTGCCACTTTGATAAATGACTGTAATTAACTGTATCCCACGCAAGCTAAACAAAACTTACAGAAATGTTGTTGCACAAAAGGAATGTTTTCTCTCTCGTTCTTGAGTGGAAATTGGAGTAGTCTCTATTATGTTGTTCTGAGCATCCTATTCTATGTCAAGGTAACAGAACCCCCCACCTGCCAACCAATGCAGACAACTCTGAAACTCGTCGGTTTGGCATCTTCCCCCTCTCCTGCTGCATTAGAAACAGGCACTGCACTTAACATGTTTCAGTTAAGCAACTTGAATTCAATTAGGTAACCCAAGACATTAGTAGCGGTAGACAAACTAAGGAAGAAATGAGATTACTTAAAAGAAGAGATGTATTCCTGCTCCTAGTGTAGCAGAGGTGTTGGAGTATGAGGCAGAAGTGGCAAGTTGTGCCAGAGCACATCATCTGAATGGAAAAATAACTATACAAAGACATGGGTCGTTCTTGGATCTTTCCTGTTAATGGTGTTTGTCAGGTTTTGACTGAATTCTCCTCCTGTAAGGAAGAGTGGCAGTCAGTGTCTGCAGGGTCAGGCTCGTTGCTGGTATGTGTATGCAGTGATGTACCGACACAGCTCTCTGGTTTGAGGCTGGTCTCCGTGTTGCTGTCATCCTGTGCTGCTCTTTGTTTGTCTTGTGAAACACCTTATTAAGCAAATAGTAGTGGCCTGTTCTAGTGAGTGTAGTCAGGTAGAGGTGGAGTGGCTGTTTTAAGTGCTCTAATGTTCCATAGAGGGTTTTCTGACTTCTGTAGCTTAGGTTAGGCAGAATATGTGGTATCCCACAGCCAGGTGCAGCTGTGTTTGGGGAAGATTATCATTATCAACCCCAAAGGTACTATAGAATAATCTGCCATGAACCAGG